AGATTGACAGCTGACAAGCGTTTGGGATAATCAATCAGTTCTCACATGATGCGACAGAATGGTCTAAAGGATCTCCATTTTTTTTCTCCTGCCTGAAAGTTCCCACATTCTTAGACTCCAAACTACAGCCATAGTGGCTTTTTTTGTTTCCCCTGTACACTTTGTAAATCTGGTCTCACATTATGGATGACCCTAAGTGGGTATACTAAAAATGGGAGGGGACATTTGTGTTCTCCATGTCTACTGAAGGTTGGACAAGAAGTAATGAGCTTAATCTCCAGCAAGCAAGATGTAGGTTAGATATTAGGAAAATACTTTCTAACTATAAGGATAGTTAAGCACTGGAATTGATTTCCAAATGAGGTTGTCCATTCCCCATCTTTGGAGGTTTTTAAGAACAGGTTGAACAAATACCTGTCACGAATGGTCGAGGTTTGCTTGGTCTTGACTGAGTGCAGGGGGCTAGACTGGATGGCTTCTCAAAATCCCTCCCAGCCCTATAATGCTATGATTCAATGAAAACATATTACAGTTGCAAGCACCAGGCTTTCAGAGCATTTAGATTGATACAATAAATAGAATTATATATGGTAGAACATTCTACTGATTGAATGAGAATTTTATGCCATTGAATTAAACAGCAGCACCCATGCGATATATATTTTTTATTTCCTCCCTACTATACTACAGATTTCTGAGAAATTTGTTATTGCATGTTATATTGTACTTAGTACATACTTTTACTGACTATTAGGGTGCTTTAACATTATTGAGAAATTACCTTGTTTAGTCAATCTCAAGTCTCATAAATGTGCATAGAACAATAGTTGTTTACATTAAATTTGCTCTGAGAACTGCTGGTCATGTTTGCTATGAACAACATAGCACTTAACCACTGTTACTCATGCTTTCTATTAGGAGACCTAGCACTTTAGGAATTACTGTGCTTGTGTTTACAAATGCACAATTGAAATTAATTTACATGAAAACACAATTTCATATTGTTCATATTGGAGTAAAACGGTTTAATATTACTGTAATTTCAGATTCAATCAAGGCATAATTATTGCTTTGCAGTAGCAACAATGTAGTGATGGCTGAGGATATACTTTCATTCTGAGCCCCTATTTTCAGCCACTTACAACTTCCTTGAAAATTACTCTTTGGGCTGATATTTCTCAAGCTTGTACGTAAAGAAAGTGGAGAAATTGTTAACTTTCTCAAAAGTTGTTCCACTTAGCCATATTTTTGAGATGCTGAGTGTACTGTTTCTTTATTCTTGAATAATTTTCTTGGTAAAGTTCAGATTTGGCACATACCTAATACTTAGGAAGGAATGTGTGCTTTGGTAAATTGGAAATTCACTGGTTGAGATTAAAGATGTTTAAAATGATTGATAATGTGATAGCGTGTATATGCAGTCTGTAATTTTCTTCCCACTTTAAGTACACCCTGGGTTACTGGGGCCTTATCTACACCATCTGTGTTTAATCCACAGTAACTTGAGTTAGTTCAGTGTGGAAATGCCTGCATACACATGATGTGATTCATGAAAATGCAGCAACTCCACATTTACTGTGAACTCTGGAGTCCTCTTTCTAGTGTATTGTGTTCAATGCAAATTGAGTTAGTGAGATGTATTGTTAGTGTGAAAAAAAATGATTGCACTGTCCCACACTGCTTTGCAGGCATCTGTTACTGAGCTGTCTGGTGAGCTGTTTGCTCTTCACTTCTCTCAGGTCAAGCAGTTACGACATGCCTTGTGCAGCCTTTTGGAGCTGCGCTGAGATCCTGGATCTCATCACCATTGTGGAGAAGTGTAGGTTCAGTAAGTTCTTGGGGCCAGCCACCAGAAGGTTTACTGTGTGGGTGCAGGGTAGTGTTGGTAGACTGTGACATACAGCAGGTCAGACTAAACAATTTGGTGATCCCTTCTGGCCTTAAACTTTAGTACTCTATTGCACAGCTGTATAGATCTGAGGCAAGTCTACATTGCAATGTAAGCCCAGGGTTAGTAGGACTTGATTCAGCTGATCCTAGGTTTCAGAACCTAGAGCTTGTGGGCAACAGAGGCCAATTTATAAACATTATTTTCAGCTGCACTGGAAAAGTTCATGATGCTAGGGTTTTCTGATGATCAAGAATCTATATTCATAGATAGGCTGGGACACTATTCCCACCACATGACATAGGCATAAACAGAGTTACTGTCCTGACTGGGGGGACCCAGTGTATCCCCTTTTGCCTTGACTTATGAAACCATATTCTGATCTCAGAGGTCCTGAGAAATGAAGGTTTAATTATACTCTCAGCAGGTGTAGAACTGTGGTTGAATGTGCATTGGGCTAATTGAAATCCCACTGGTGTTGCATACAGACTAGGGCTGTCAAGCGATTAAAAAAAGTTAATCACGCAATTAAAAAATTAATCACAATTAATCGCACTGTTAAACAATAATAGAATACCATTTATTTAAATATTCTGAATGTTTTCTACATTTTCAAATATATTGATTTCAGTTGCAACACAGAATACAAAGTGTATAGTGCTCACTTTATATTTATTTTGATTACAAGTATTTGCATTGTAGAAAAACAAAAGAAATAGTATTTTTTAATTCACATAATACAAGTACTGTAGTGAAATCTCTTTATCATGAAAGTTGAACTTACAAATGTAGAATTATATATGCAGCAGTCACAAATAAAACAATGTAAAATTTTAGAGCCTGCAAGTCCACTCAGTCCTACTTTTTGTTTGGCCAATCGCTCAGACAAACAAGTTTGTTTACATTTGCAGGAGATAATGCTGCCCGCTTCTTGTTTACAATGTCACCTGGAAGTGAGAACAGACATTCACATGGCACTGTTGTAGTCGATGTTGCAAAATATTTACCTGCTAGATGTGCTAAAGGGTCATATGTCTCTTCATGCTTCAACCACCATTCCAGGGGACATGCATCCATGCTGATGACAGGTTCTGCTTGACAACAATCCAAAGCAGTGCGGACTGATGCATGTTCATTTTCATTAACTGAATCAGATGCCACCAGCAGAAGGTTGATTTTCTTTTTTGGTGCTTTGGGTTCTATAGTTTCCATATCGAAGTGTTGCTCTTTAAAGACTTCTGAAAGCATGCTCCACACCTCATCCCACTCAGATTTTGGAAGGCACTTCAGATTCTTAAACCTTTGGTCGAGTACTGTAGCTATCTTTTGAAATCTCACATGGTACCTTCTTTGCATTTTGTGAAATCTGCAGTGAAAGTGTTCTTAATATGAACTACATGTGTTGAGTTATCATCCAAGACTACTATAACATGAAATATATTCAGAATGTGGGTAATACAGAGCAGGGGACATACAATTCTCCCCCAAGGAGTTCAGTCACAAATTTAATTAACACATTATTTTTTTAATGAGCATCATCATCATGGAAGCATGTCCCCTGGAATTGTGGCAGAAGCGTGACGGGGCACACGAATGTTTAGCATACCTGGCACATAAATACCTTTCAATGCCAGCTACAAAAGTGCTATGCAAATGCCTGTTCTCACTTGCTGGTGACATTGTAAAGAAGAGGGCAGCATTATCTCCTGTTAATGTGAACAAACTTGTTTGTCTGAGCGATTGGCTGAACAAGAAGTAGGACTGAGTGGACTTGTAGGCTCTAAAGTTTTACGTTGTTTTGTTTTTGAGTGCATTTATGTAACAAAAAAAATCTACATTTGTAAATTGCACTTTCACGTTAGATTGCACTACAGTACTTGTCCAAGGTGAATTGAATAATACTATTTCTTTTGTTTATCATTGTTACAACACAGAATACAATATATATGAAAATGTAAAAAAGACATTCAAAATATTTAATACATTTCAATTGGTATTCTAATGTTTAACAGTGCGATTAAAACTGCAATGAATCATGATTATTTTTTTTAATTGAGATTAATTTTTTGAGTTAATCCCATGAGTTAACTGTGATTAATCGACAACCCTAATACAGACTCGTCTGGATTCTAGTATCAACAATGGTGTCTATGTTACTGTTGCTCGCTGTGCTCTTCACAATTTTTGTGAAGACAAAGGTAAGCCATTTCCCCCTGAATGGACATATAACTGTGAGAGGGCCCTGAACTGGTACACTCAGCCCAAAATGGCACCTAACCCAGCTAGAGCTGGATGCACAAGGCTTTGTATTCATGGATGCTTTGTATTCCAAGATTATGGACTTTCATGGGCCACTGGAAGAGGGGGAATAGTACCTTCATGAATGTGCTTTGGTGAGTGCAGTTGTTGATTGACATGCATTGTACTTTTGAATGACATGACTGCTAATGAAATGGGGGGAGGTAGGAACAGTATGGATTGTACCTGTACCAAGACATGGGTTTTTCATACAACTTCCCAGTTGTCCCTGATCATGTGTTTACCTTTATTTTTGATGTATACATTATATGCAGTGATGGCAATATAATTTTTTTATAAAATAAATACCTTTATTTTTTACACATGTATTGGAAAAGTACAATATTAAAGCATTGCCTTGTGGACCAGCTGTCATTAGCACCCCTAAACCCTTTAAAAGTAACCACAAATAAAATGCATAAACAAGTGCAAACCGTTAAAATATGTACATTTGCTTACTATTGTTTATCCCCTGGCCTCCTGTTTTCCTTTCCCTACATTCCATGTTTGCCATGCAATTGATGTTGGGATAGGGGGTGGAGGTATTCACGGGGGAAGAGTTCAGCACTGAGGACTGCATAAGGCACATTTTTCCTGTCCAGTTGCTCATAGGGCCCAAGTGCATGGGCCACCCAGCCATGGAGTTGTTCAAGCTGTTCCTGGAATGCAGAGCAGGATTTCACGGAGGAGTCACAGCCCATGGTGCGGGCATAGTGGGAGCCTGCACTCTTGTGACCATTAGCCACAGCCGCCACTCAAACAGTTCTCTCTATTGCACTTTGTCTTCCTCCCTTAACTGCAGTCTCTTTTCCAGGAACTCCAAAGCAAATGCCTTCTCCCGTGCCTCAACCCTGTCCTCAAGATGAAAAGCCAGCTTGAACCTTTCCTCTTGCCTCTGGCATGTCTTTCCTCTTGCTGCATGTCCTTTGCCTTTGGTACTTGACCTGAGTGTTGGCCCTGTCCAGAACTTCAAGCATAAGTTCATCACATAAACACTTCCTCTTGGAAGGGTCTGTGAAGGTTTGGTGAACCAGGCTTCTGCAGCTTGGGTGAGTTGTGGTGGTACTGCAGCCTGTGGAGGTTGAGGTTGCCTGGAACAAGACAGGACATTGTCTTTAGTAGCTCAGTGTAAAATCACAGAAAAAGATAATTTTGTAATTTCAGGGACAGAAAATGTTACTGTACTGTTTGAAACTGAATTTCAATAGATTGCCAGAGGGCTGCTTCACACCACAGAAGCTCCCTGAACACAGCTGGGTTAATCTCCGTGAATGAAGTGCTGAAAGAATGGTAAGTTAAATATCACAACTTTTTATTTTATTTTTCAAAAAAATTGGAGTTTGGGGGAACGTCGGTGGTCATGTTGTGCGACTTAAGCCTTCTCTATAATATTGAATATCGCACATTTGGGGGAAAATAACAGCTCTTGTGTGCCTGATTGGCAAAGGGAGGTGGCTGCCAGTTTATTCCAAGCTGCCAGTGGGAAACCAGGCATATATGCTACCCCAGTATTCAAACAAATGGAGACTGAACAGTGAATCTGTGAGTGGAATTGGCAGGTGAGCTACTGAGGTGGCCTTGAAAAATGCACCCTTTCCTGAAATGTGAATAGCTAGCTGGAGTTCCTACTACAGGAAAAGTTTACAGCTATCAGCACCCAGAATTGGATCAGAATTCATGAGGGAGTCAACAGGACACTGCATTTGCCTCCACATAACTTAGTACCTTGGTTTCCTGTTATGGCTGCATGCAAGTGCACAGAATTCCACTGCCATTTCCTTTCTCTGCCTGGCAAATTTATGGACTCAGTTCAAACTCCAGTAGTGTTTGAGACGAATGACTTTCTCACCCACAGGATGAATGGACTACATTTATGAGAAATGAACTGCATTTGAAAATGGACTATATTTGAACCTCTTTCCCTTCCTCCCTGTTCTTCCTGGACAGTTCAATCCTTTCAGGCAGCTTGTTACATCATTGGATTGTTATCAAGTGGCTTACGTACAGGGAAGGTAATATAAGGTTCTTATTTTAACACACTGGAATGTAATAGCAAAATGTGAGACTTCTCAATGAAAATTAACTTTTACATGCTTGTTTTACTGTCTGAGTTTTCCCATCTCCATTTTGAATTCCACATGGTGATGGGAATGCCAAAATGTTGGCATGCAAGCTGCCATGAGTGGATACATGCTGCTATCTGGAGTTTATATCTTTTTGTATTGGTTCATACAGCAGAAATCCCGCCCATTTCTATGTTAATAAACACAAATAGAACCAGAAATTTACCAGACTCCAGGGCAGCTTCTTGATCTTCCATTTCTTCAGTGGGGCATTCCTGTGGAAATGGGGGGCGCATTAAAAAGCTTCTCTGAGTATGGCCCCAGCACATGCTGCAGCTGATCCTATGGCAAAGCCTCCTCTGGGACTATTTCCATCATCAGAGTCACTTCATTTGCTGCCTGCTGCTGGTGCCCACTGATTTCCATGCTGGCTTCTGAGACAAGCAGGTTACTAGCCTGGCTGACCAATGCACTGCTGGTGGCTCAGGGCTCAGTGCAATCTCCAGCACCCAGTCAAACTCAGTGTTGCAGTGGAAGTATGCTAGGTATATCGCTCACCTTCTGCTGATGGATCAAAACCATCCTCTGTTCACAGGCTTTGGTCTATGCGCCAGTCTCCTGGGAGTGAGCCATTTAGTGTGGCAAGGATCCACACAGCTCCACAGGGGCAGGCCCATTGCCTCCAAGACTGGGTTTCTGGCACAGGCATCCCCTGTCTCTCTCCATTGGTCCCTGCAGTAAATCCATCCAAGCCAGATTCCTGTGGGAGGCTTCTACTGTAGCCCTCCAAGGTACAAACTCTCAGTGAGTACCTTCAGTGACACAGGCATCATTTTGAAAACGTTTAGTCCCCTGGCTCACAAAATCTGGAAGTACTTAGGTTAGTGCAGCTGTGGCCAAAGGCTGACAATATCACACATCACTGATGACTGCCATCTGACCTGATTTGATGGTGATCTTAGGGTTCTGCACTTTGCTGATGAGGCTGCCACAATTTGGCTTGGCAAGCTCCGCATCCAATAAAAAGTCAAACTCATCATAAAATGTGCATGATATCAGCAACTTGCCAGAGGTATGGTTGTAGTTCTGAGTTTTCTGGTATTTGGTCTTGAGTTGCTTAATCCGTTCCCTGCACTGGTCAGTGATCCGGTAAATTTCCAATACTGACAACTTCTGCACTATTTGCTGGATGCATTGTCATTCCTGGTACTCTGACTAAAATCAATTGTTTTGCTGGCCTTCCAACAAAAATTAACTAAAATCTGACTGTGCTCCAGTGACCACAATGCAGTATACTTTGTAAAGGACTTCTGGTCAATATCCATTTTAAACATCAAAGGTTCTCCTAGTGGTTCATTTGCAATGTGTCACTCAGAAGAAAAATGGAAGGGTTAAATACCAAGCTGCTATACTAGAACAAGTATATGTGGGGAGGGGTGGGGGACAGGTGCTTCCATTTCCCTCGAGTTGATTTGCAATTCTAGGGAGAGAGGACAAAAGAAGTTTGCCCATAGCATTGGGGGATAGTTCTGACAGGTTTCAAGGACCTGAGTGTGGGGGCAGAGGGACAGGGTGGCTGTGTGTACATTCCAAAACAATAGGGCTTGAGCTCCCTGTCCCTTCTGGATTCAGGCTCAGACCCTCTGCTTTCCCAGGGTCCTAGTACTGAGCCTGAGATATTTGTGTGTAGACCGAATGGCAGTAAGAACTTAAGCATGATTCTGAGCCTGAGCTTTTATTGCAATGTAGACATATTTGTAGTGGAATTTTACAGGTTTATGTAGAGAAAGACTGGGAGAAACCACTGCAGAACTTAATCTGTTTTTTCTTCTGCACTTTCAGAAGGTCTGTGTAAGGGACTAGAACCTGGATATATAGAGCCTGGGATTGCTGATATTCCCACAATATCCTGGGGGGGAGGGGTGTATTGCAGACCTGCAGCCAGGGAGCACTGTGGAGAGTAAGTGCCACAGGAAGTACCACCCAATGGAGCCAGAGTCACAGTACACTGTGGCCCTTTGATAGGCCAAGTGCCCATTTAACCTGGGCTTGCCCCAGTTGTCTGGGGAACCACATAGACTTTGGCCCGCCATGATGCCAGACTTTGCTTTGTCTTCTGGTGTCTGATCCCAATCTGACTCTGACCCTGATTCCTGCTCTTGCTTACTGAATCTAGTTCTTGCAATTCGTCTGACTCCTGTTCAGCAACTACAGTCTCTGATGTACAGACCCCAGTCCAGCTGTAACTGCTAGGCCAGACTGACTATGTCTGCAGGGGAGATAAAGTAGAATCTAAGACTGAAAAATTTGGTCTGGACATTGAATAATAGCTGCATGGCTGCTGAATGTTGTACAGCTTGCAATTCCCTTCCACTCCTCTAGCACTTCTGGGTAGACCATACTGTTGAATAACTTTACAGAGTATCTCACTGATCTGCCCTTTGTCTTTTTTGAATAAGGACATTCTCTGCCTCCTCGTCAACCTGCTCAGTATAATGTCATCAGAAGTCAGGACAGCTTAACGGGCATGTAGAGAGGATTATTATGCAGCTCACCTGAGATGCCTCGAGCTATCTCCTCTGACACCATATCAGCACCGCCAAGAAACAGTAAAACTGCAAAGCCAAACCAGTAAAATTTACCAGTCTTCTTACTTTTCTACTATCAATATAACTGTTGATAACGTTTGTTACATTTCACAATTCTGTGCCATACCAGACACGGCAATGTGCCATGGTCTTGGATTGGTATGTGCATTATCAATTTTAACAAGTGCACGGATCAGTCATAACCCATGAGTCCAACTGCTGGCATTATTAAACTTGAACTGCTTTCTTGATGCAGTTTAATCATTTAATCATTTTGTAAAGTGAAGTCATGTCACTTCAACCTATTAGAATTCTTTAAGGCTGTCCATAAATATGTGGACAAGGTTGATCTAGTGGATATAGTGTATTTGGACTTTCAAAAAGCCTTTGACAAGATCCCTTACCAAAGGCTCCTAAGCAAAGTAAAGAGTCATGGGATAAGAGGGAAAGTCCTCTCATGGAAACAAAGGATAGGAATAACCAGTCAGTTTTCACAGTGGAGAGAGGTAAATAGTGGGGTCCCAAAGGGTCTGCACCAGGACCAGTGCTGTTCAACATACAGTATTCATAAACAGTCTGGGGGAAAAGGGGTAAACAGTGAGGTGTCAAAGTTTGCAGATGATACAAAATTACTCCAGATAGTTAAATCCAAAGCCGACTGCAAAGAGTTGCAAAACTGGGTGACTTGGCAAGAAAATGGCAGACGAAATTCAGTGCTGATAAATGAAAAGGAATGCACATTGGAAAACATAATCCTAACTATACATACAAACTGATGAGGTCTAAATAAGCTGTTATCATGTTGAAGTCATTGTGGATAGTTCTCTGAAAACATCTGTTCAATATGCATCGGCAGTCAAAAAAGCTAACAAAATGTTAGGAACCATTAGGAAAGGGATAGATAATAAGGCAGAAAATATCATAATGCCACTATATAAATCCATGGTATGCCCATACCTTGAATACTGAGTACAGTTCTCGTTACCTCATCTCAAAAAATATATTAGAATTGGAGAAGATACAGAGAAGGGCACCAATAATAATTAGGGGAATGAAACAGCTTCCATATGAGGAGAGATTAAAAAGACTGGGACTGTTCAACTTGGAAAAGCGATGGGGTGGGGGAGATATGAAAGAGGTCTATAAAATCATGAATGGTGTGAATAAATAGAATAGGGAAATGTTATTTACCAGTTTGCATAACCCATGCACCAGAGGTCACACAATGAAATTAATAGGCAGCAGGTTTAAAACAAACATAAGGAAGTACTTCACAAGTGCAATCACCCTGTGCAACTCGTTGCCTGGGGATATTGTGAAGTTCAAAAGCATATCTCGGTTTAAAAAAAAGAATTAGATAAATTAATGAAGGATAGGTCCATCAATACCTATTAGCCAAGATGGCCAGGGATGCTACCCCATGCTCTGGATATCCCTAAACTCTGATTGCTAGAAGCTGGGAATGGATGACATGGAATGGATAACTCAATGAATTGCCCTGTGCTGTTTGTTCATTCCCTCGGAAGCATCTGGCAATGGCCACTTTCAGAAGACAGGATACTGGGGCAGGTGGACCAGTGGTCTGACCCAGGATGGCTGTTCTTATGTTATTATTATTTTTCAGTCTCTGTACACTTTTAAAGTTTAAATTAATCAAGTATATTTAAGCATTTTTACTGATATTGTTCCTTCAGTTACATAATTTTATTAGAGTTTTGAACAAATATACAATATTGTCTTATTCCTGTATTATAAGCCTTTGCAATCAAAAGACACCAGGCTGGGTTAGGCTGTTTGTAACTCCTGGAATTAAGTCTGTACAGTTAAGTAAACGTGTTTAAGTAATGGTAACAACATGAATCAGTGAAGTCAATCCTTTATGTGATCAATACTCCAACTCTCCCAACCCACCCCCGCACAATGCGTTATCCAATAAAAAATGCTGGATGAATAAATTGAAAGAGAGGTGAGGAGGAAGGAATAAGCAGCAGAAAAAAGGAAGGTTATAGGAGGTGAGGAAGAACATAATAGAATGTAAGAACAGAGAAAGGAGAAACTGAAAAAGAGAGAAGTGGATGGAGAAAAGAAGAGAAAAAAGAGCTCCTCCTTTGGTAGGATGAAAAAATATGGACATCTGCTATGGAAATATATAGGACAGCTCACCATACATTCACTTCAAAGCTTGTCTTCCATTCAGTAATTATACTATACAGGGATTACTATGACCTGTAAAATGTTACTGACATTCCAGTGAACTTGTGTCATATTTGATACTTTGTTGGCAGAACAGATGGTTAATCATGCTCATAGTACTAGGCATACTCGGGAACAGTGAGGAAGTTAAACAAATGGCTTTAAGTG